ATGAAAATTTTTCGAGCGTTTAACTAGAATTGATTGATTTATAATTAATGAATCAAACTGTGAAGGATTGAAGTTGTGTATTGATAAGTCTTATGTAAATTTCTCAAGAGAAAAATGACGAAAACTCTTTAAGATAAAGAAAAAATGTTAATGACTTTTGCTTTCTTTTATTCGGTTGAGAACAGTTTTAATTTTTAATAATGTGCTTTAAATAACGTATGAATTTGTTAATAATGTATTAAAAATAAACTTTATCAATTATAACTACTCATTTAATATGTATATAAACATACACAATAAATTATTATAGTGTATTATGCAATAACTTATATATCTTTTATGTCTTTGTCTTTTTTTCCTCACTTCTTCTCCCCTCTCTCTTCTTCTGCTCTCACTCACTCCTCTCTTCTCTCTTTCTTTCCTTTTTGCTCTTCTTCTGCTTCCCCCCTCTCTCCTCTTCTCTCTTCTTTTGCTCCCCCTTTCCTTCTCTCTTCCTCTCTCGCTCTTCTTCTGCTCTCCTCTTCTTCTCTACTCTCTCTCTTCTTTTTCCCCTCTCTTCTTTCTCTTTTCTCTTCTCTCTTCCTCCCTTCTCCATGTACAATTCCATTAAGAAAATTATCATTAAACCTCACCACTGTGGCACTTTTGGCGCTTTGGATTTTAATTCGCGTGATTTTTGGTTGTGGAGAAACTTAAAAGGTATGATTTATCGAGGATATGTTGCAAATTTAGAAGCCTCGAAAGACAGCAGGAAGCATCAATTACAGTCGCGCTCATTGTCTTCGGGTTTTGCACCTTTACAATGGCACCATACTGAGCACTATCTTCTGTTACACAGAGACATTACCCTTGTATAAATAAAATGTATGTTGCTTGCAGTGCCAAAAGTGCCACAATGGTGAGTTTTGGTACTATTTTTTTAGGAAAGTGTTTTTCGCGTATCCGTATATTTGATTTCTATCGAGACAGTGTTTATTTAAAACTGCATTCTTTTAAATTTTTATTTAAATAGAAAATAATAAAGTGATATTAGCAATTTATTCAATTCATTATTATTATTTTTTGCTAAACAGATAGAAAGTAAATAAAGGAAACAGCTGAAACTCTTGATTAAAAAGAGAAGAAGGAAATTTTTTTGAGAGATTTCCATTAAAATCAGTTATTATGTCAAAATAACTATTAATTTAATTTTATTTGCTTGTCAAAAAATAAGATTTATTTATAAACAAATAAAAATAAATAAAGAAAGAAAAAAGTCAATAAATTCCTTATAAAAATGAACACAAAAGATACTATAGAATTAATCATTTTAATATATTTTTTTAAAAATTTAAAATAAAATGCTTTTATTGGTCGTATTTTTGGGGTATGGTATGGTGAGAGCTCCACCCTCACCATACTATACAGTGCATTCACACACACACATTATGGTTAAATTTTACATTTTATTATGTTTATCAGTTTTGGAGTGAAGAGTATGGAGGGGTGGGCTACCACCTAAAACATCTTTAAAATGCATTGTGTATGTTTTCAAAGTTTCAGACTTTTATCTTCATTAGAATTGGATGAAATCTGAGTTACAAGATTTGAGGATATGCAAGTGTAGACTCTGAAAGGACACGATTGATTCTTAGAAACGAGGAAGGATATCTTTTGCCCCATTTTAATTTGGAGTGGGAAATATAATCACAAAATTGAATTAAATTCTCATATAACAATATGGAGCCTTCATCTTACGATAATGCCATAGTTTGGAGATTTCTTTCTGTTATATCCAATCAAAATTTCTAAGAAAGAGTTGGGTAGGACATCTTTCTGAGACCATCAATTTGAATGTTGTTGACTAGGAAAATCAAATTGAGAATTCATGGAATAAATCTCTTTAATAATGGAAAGAGATGAACTTCTCGAGGCAAGAACTTCTTCAATTTTCTCAATAATGCAATGTCATTCAATTATTGAAGAAATTGAAAAGTCTAAATACTTGATTATGCAATGTATAATAATTATTGGTACAGTAAAACTTCGATTTAACGGACTTCGTATGTTATAATATTATTTTATTCATACTCATACATCACAATAACACTTTAAATTCGTTATTAAGCTGTAATTTTCCAATTACAGACTTATGTATTCCCAATAACGTCCCTCTGTTCGTTTGTTCGTCCGTCCTTCCTTAATTACGAGAACGGAGTTAGATCGATGTAAACCGAAACCAGATATGGAAAGATTAGCGACTGGAGGCCCGATTACCTTATTTTGGCGTGGATTCAGGGATTTGAAGGAAGACATTTTGGCACTCGACTGTCAGACCAACCGTTATCCAGGCACGTAATTAATTCCAATTCAATATCAAGTTTCTCAGATGCTGGACAAGAAAATCTGATGAATTCTCCAAACTTGTAAACATCTTGAATATCTTCTATGATGAGGGAAGAATTATCTGGTTTACGAACAGGAGGACATCCCTTCACGCCTTAAAACAACAATAAAATTTTATTAATTAGAAAATAAAATCAGTTTATTTAATATATATAGTATTTTATGACGTATAAGATGCACTTTTCCACCGAAAAATACTGTCTGAAAATGGGGTGAGTCTTATACGCCAGTTAATTGTTTGTTCGTATACGGCAAGCGACCCGAAGGGGTTTTGCCGAGTGGGTGCCTCCTGGGAGAACTTTCTTCGGAAAACTGGTCCTATTTAAGTGCTGCAAACGCGAAGAAAATGCGGAAAACTCCATGTGGCCAACACGTTAGATAGCGCGTATTATTTTCATAATATGCAATGTCATGTTGAAAATTTTATCTCACAATATTTATCGGGCTCACCAGTCACCGGTGAACAGTGGTACAGTAGTTGGTGTAAGTTTGCACCTCACTAAAGTGGAGTTTTTTGGGTTTCTTTACGTTTGTAACACCTAAATAGAGACACATTTCCCGTAGAAAGTCCTTCCGAGAGGCACCCCCGTCGGCGGATCGCCCAGGTGTCGCGTTACCTCGCACAGTACAAACAAACTCACAATATTTATTCTATAATTTTTAGTATACTTACATTTAAATATTCCGATTTTCCACGTTTCGTGCGAACAAATTGCATAATTCTGACCTACCAATACAAAATTTTCAATGGAACACGAGAGCGTGACGTTCTCACCATCCAATATGTCATCGTTTATATATCTTCCTGAAGTAATTTTATAGGGTGATAAACGTTCTTCCAAATCGTAAATATTGCATTTTGGAATGGCTGTAATAAATAATTTTATAAAATTAAAGGACGAACGAACGAACAGACGAACAGACGGACGTTAGTAGAAATCTATTAGTTCTGGAATTTGAAAATTGCAGCCCAATAATTTTTAAATTAAAACTTTCTAGTTATTTAAACTCATTTTAAATAAGAACGTATGCACAGGAGAAGAGAAAATTGTTATACCCCCAAGGAAATAGAGCCTCTATACACCGGAAACCTGCCAAACCGTACGAGTCCGGTTTATACGGGTTTACATTAAATTGTAAATAAAATGCAGCCAGATTGGATATTAAAAGGTCGAGTGAGAACTATTCATAATTACAGGGGTTAGAGCAGAGATTGAAGTGAGTGGAAGATATTACACTTTGGTGTAGTAACTTTCATATTACAGATTTTCAAAGTTTTGTCATTCATCATTTTGATAGATTTCGCGTCGAATGTCACTTCTGTTCGAGTTGCCATTTGTCCTTTATGAGCGACTTTTCAAAAACTTTTACTCTTTCATCATCAAACCATTTAAATGTAATTCATTTAATTATATAACTTGAATATCAATTATATATTAAATATTACATAAAATCTCTAACCCGTAATCGAGAGCTCGCGTAGGATCCACAGTTAAAGCTTGCCCTTTTAGCCTCTGTTTCTTGAACAAATGAAACACGTAGAATATTTTTTTTTATTAATTGTTATTTTTTATATACAAGTCACACGATATATTAAGCAATTATGTTTTTTATATTACAATTTTTTTATTGTTTTTTTTTCTTAACATTCTTTTCTACGAATATTCGAACTGGTGCCTTAATTAATATTGAGCTTAATAACTCTTGTGTCTTTTGTCGAAAATTTCTGAAATTTTGCGGGGAGTTTTGTTTATCGGGGGTTGCGGGCTATTAAATTTTCATGGTTAAAGGTCAAAGGGTGGGTCATTTATTTTGTCGGGAAAGTTACGCAACTTGTTGCTGGATTTTTTTTTCTATTTATCATTTTGATTTATTAAAGTTAAAATATAGAAATATACCTTCACACTCGGGTGTTTCGCTAGACCATTTCTTAGTTTCGAGGCAACGCAGTGTAGAATTACCAACAAGTTTATACCCTGGCCAGCATTTATAATAAAGTCGGATTTCGTTTTCATAAACATCTCCAATTGTGCTTCCGTGCCTGATTCTTCCTGGTTTGCTGCACTGATCTAGTAAGAAAGAAGTTATTCATTGAATAATAAGTTGAACAATTCCTTTCAACAATATAAAATAGTATATTAGGACGTCTCTTATTTGGTTAATATTTTTGTGCTTTTTTTTTAATCTCACTCCTCATTCTTTTTCTTTGTTTTTAGAGTGAATTTCACTGTGTCAAAAATAGGGAATGTTAAATATATTATTAATCCGTGCCGACTTAACGATATATCTTTAATTTTGACTACGATTAAATGTATTTAAAACACTAACTTGAATTTATTGAGAATTCTTTCGACGGATGCCAATGGTGAAGTAGACTTATCGACCGGTCTAAGCTGTCCTTATGGGTCTTCACGAACCCAAAAATGCGATGGGATGAATGGAGTTAGAGCTGTGGTTCCACGAATACCCATCATAGCATCCAAAGGAATTTGCTGAGACGTGTGCTCTTAGCTTGCAATTTCTCCAAATGTCCATGGACAGCATCGTGCATTCATGAAATTGCAAGCTAAGATCACACGTTTCACCAAAACTCCTTTGGCTGCTGTGCTGAATATTCGCAGAACCATGGTTTCCCCGGGTTCGGAGAAAAATCCCCATCTTCTCCCTCAATACGGCGATGGTTAAGTTGAAAAAGATGTCTCTCCCTGTCTCTTTGTACAATTCTCAATTAAGTCGGCACAGGTTTATCAATTTTTATTAAATTAATTTTAGTAAAAGAAACATTAAGGAAGCGAGACTCAGAAATATATAAACATTAAAAAAAGTATATCCTTATATTAATATAATATAATAAAACTAATTTAATTAAAAAGATTTAATGATTTGAAATAAATTTTACATTTAAATATTCATAATTCAAAATACACACGCTTCGATTTAACAAAACCCAATTTAACGGACGATTTAATTTCTACTATAAAGCTGTTATGTATAGAGGAATTATGTATAGAGGATGTATATTTCGTATGGAAATTGGTCAAAAAATGCCCCCTAAAATTTTTACATTTTTCGTCTCGGGGCACTTTGAAACGTCGAAAAATGCAACAAAATTTGCATATTTCCCCCTGTATGTATGGATTTTTGTGTATTTGTGTGTGGGGGGCTCAATTTTGTTCACCAAATTTAAAGCTTAATAACTCCCGTGCTTTTTGTCGAAAATTTCTGATATTTTGCATTGAGGTTTGTGTATTGTTTTGCCGGGAAAGTTACGCAACTCGTTGCTGAATTTTTTGATTGATTCTATTAAATTTTGGTGGTTAAAAGTCGGGAAGTTGAGGGGATAAAGGGAGGTTACCTGTCATATCTCGAATGGGGTCGCCCTTAATGAAGATTTTACTCGTTACTAACATTTACATTTTTATATAAAACTCATACCTACCTTCAAAATCAAAATTTTGCCATTTTATAATAATTAATGAAATAAAAAGTTTTTAAAAATAAAATCTCGTATCAGATGGCGCCACACAAAACCTTAACTTACGGCCGGAAAAGTTACACAACTCGTTGCTGGATTTTTCTATATTCTTTATCCGTGAATATAGAATTCTAAAAAAGGTTGGGCCAATAAGTATAAATTACTCAAGGTACATTATAAACGGTTTTTCAGCAATAGTGAACAACACCTCCCCTAATTAGTCCGTTAAATCGAGAGATTACTGTATATATTTTCTAAAATAAAAATAAAATTGAAAAAAATTAAATACCTGAAAACAGCTTAATTAGTAGAGAATGTTTCCTTTCGGAATTTCCTCTCGCTCTCATCAATGACAGCATTCAATTTATCGCTTTGGGTAAGTTCATAAAATTAGTTTTGATGGTGAAAATCATAAAACTCCAATGGAAAGTCACCTTTATTTATAAATTACTTCTCTTTCTGCCGAATTATCTTTCAATATTTTACGAGCGAATATTCTCAGGAATGAAAATATGTTACATTTTAAACACTTGTATTTTTTTTTTCTAATGTGGAATTTTAGGAAGAATGTTTTAGTTCATAGCTCATGCAGATAATTTAAAAGACGGACGAAAGGGTTATAAAAATTAATTAAACTGTTAATAGAAAAGGCCCGAAGATATTTTTAGAATAAAGTAAAATATTAAATAATCGTTAAAGATATTCAATGAATAATAAAGGAAGGCATCCGGAGGTTAAATTTTTATCCTGCTTAAAATGCTAAATCGAAATCAATAACTTTTCCCCCTTTTTTTGTTTTTTTTTTTGATTGATTTTATTCCTTACTTCATCGGATCTGAGTCATGCTATTTTGAATAATCAAATACTAAGACGAAAAAACAAGCAATTTACGATCAATATTATTATTATTTTTATACTTTATTGTAAATTAGGCAATTAAAAATTCAATGTAGAAATTTATAGAAAATTTGGATGTTTTACTGAATTATTATTATTATTATTATTTTATCTTTTCTCTTTACGTAACGCTTGATTAATTCATAAAATTTCTTCTTTAAATATTTAATTAAATTTTAAAAGTAAACTTTAGTAAATTGATAATATATTTATATTATTAATTAAATATATTAATTAATTTAATTAAAGTTATAAATGCGTAAATTAAATATATTTATAAGTTTATTTGATGAAAATTTTTCGAGCGTTTAACTAGAATTGATTGATTTATAATTAATGAATCAAACTGTGAAGGATTGAAGTTGTGTATTGATAAGTCTTATGTAAATTTCTCAAGAGAAAAATGACGAAAACTCTTTAAGATAAAGAAAAAATGTTAATGACTTTTGCTTTCTTTTATTCGGTTGAGAACAGTTTTAATTTTTAATAATGTGCTTTAAATAACGTATGAATTTGTTAATAATGTATTAAAAATAAACTTTATCAATTATAACTACTCATTTAATATGTATATAAACATACACAATAAATTATTATAGTGTATTATGCAATAACTTATATATCTTTTATGTCTTTGTCTTTTTTTCCTCACTTCTTCTCCCCTCTCTCTTCTTCTGCTCTCACTCACTCCTCTCTTCTCTCTTTCTTTCCTTTTTGCTCTTCTTCTGCTTCCCCCCTCTCTCCTCTTCTCTCTTCTTTTGCTCCCCCTTTCCTTCTCTCTTCCTCTCTCGCTCTTCTTCTGCTCTCCTCTTCTTCTCTACTCTCTCTCTTCTTTTTCCCCTCTCTTCTTTCTCTTTTCTCTTCTCTCTTCCTNAAAGTACTTGGGTAAAAGTACCCTAGGCTCCTTTCAGAGTTCGGAGTAGGTTACCCCCCTGTGAGCACCTCTGCCCCCATAAAATGACTTCGTATTTAATTTTGTCAGAGTTGGAGTTGGCCTACTAAAATTATCAGGAGTCAGAGTTGAGTGTTTTTTACCGACTCCGCAGCCCTGCTTAAATGGTTAAAAAGGCTCACTATATTCAATTCTTTGTGTATTGATATACAGATTTTGAGTATATAAATGCTTAAAAATTTTCTTGCAGTTCTTAAAAGTTCTTAAAAAAAAGTACTTAATTTTTAAAGGAGAAAAGAAATTAGAACCATATATAGTATAGAACCAGAAACAATATTCTGAATGAATATTGTTTCTGAATATTCTGATTCTAATTTCCTAATGTTCTGATGTCCTTGTTAAGAGTAATAAGGAATGTTATATTGGATCTTAATAATCTGCAAGATTTTTACTGATAGGCTATATTTTGTTGAATTTTGTCAAAAAATGTTTATAGTGTATGAAATATACACAATAAACTACTTGCAGATTTCTTTCTTATACTATTTTCAGACTAAAAATGACTTCTTTAAGGAAAAAACCATCTAAATCAAGCAGTGTTTTCCTGATTCATAATAAAATCAGAAAAAGCTGCTGGATTATTCCATTATCTTTGTCACATAATCTAATATTGTAAGATTTTTATTGAATGTACTTTTTATGCTAGAAACAGATAAAGAATATGTTATGTATAACATACTTTATATCAGTTAATTGTTTTTTTTTATAGTTTTTACAAGAGCCTTAAAACTCCACTACTAAATTTAAAATAATATAAACTCAAAGAATTCTTTAATGGAGTGAAAGAAAGAAATGTACAACATAAGTCAGCAGTTTTGAGGTTAATTCAGCATCACACCTTAACTTCACAATAGAATTCCAAACATCTATTATAATAAATATAAGTTATCATTGCCAGATAATCATTATGTTAGTAGTATTAAATTCCACTGTAATATTCAGTTTCATGATGAGCATTAAGATCAGAAACACTTATAATATTATAAGTTTCTTTGTTTTTTACTCCATTTTTTGATTAATTTATATTTTAGCTTAACATGATTTATTTTGGCTCATAATATGTAAAATAATTCAGTGTGAAGTCTGTCTTGCCAGTCTATCATAGAACAGATCAATGCAATCTTTCTATGTTTTTAGCTTTTGTTTTTACTATAATAATGTGATAAATTATTAACAACTGCAAATATAATAAAAGTATATTGTTAGAATTTACAAATATGTAAAATAAATATATATACATATTTTGGAAGTAAATAATTTGTTATATTTACAGAACTGGAAAGAAATGGAATTCCGATGGTATCGTCTTGTTATCCTTATTGTTTTTGGAGGAACAGACATTGGGTTTGCACTGTACACTCGTTATGCAACGGATGAAAAAGCACGTGTAAGTTATGCTGCTCATTTTGCTGGAGCATTAGCTGGATTTTTAGTTGGTTTGAATGTATTAAGAAATTTGAAAGTTCATTCCTGGGAAGTTAAACTTGGTTGGATAATGTTGGCAGTTTATGGCATACTTATGCTATTTACAATTCTTTGGAATATATTTTATTCAGATTATTATCCTAAAAATTAATATATTTTGGAGATTTTCTTCGTTAATATGGTGCTAGTTTTTATATATTTATTATATACTAGTGATGTGAACATAGTTACTAATGATTAATTTTGTACTCATAAGGATTTGAAATACAAATACTCTTTTTTTCAAAATTATTCATTACTTTCTAATTACAGTCAGGAGAGAATAATAAATAAATATTGATTATTGTTTACTACTTAATAATAAATTTAAACAACTAGATTATTATCAGGCTATAAGATGTATTAAGTTTTCTCTAGCTTAGTCTGCTTAAAGTGAAATAATAATCCTATTTTTTAGACTAATTATTAATAATATAATATGTGCTTCAGTTGTTTATGCTTACTAGTTATTTTGTTTTTTAATTTCTGCTTTATTTTATCAAAAGCTAAATACAGTACCAAATAATACATAAATTCAGTTAGAGAAAGAGTAAAAGTCAAGTGAAAACTTTAATTCAGAATCAAATGATACAGCCAAATTCTTATTGAGCTATATTAATTATTAAGATACTAAGTAATTTGGACTAGAGGTAAGTGGTTAAGCCATCATCTCATGTTAAATTTAATCATTAGAAATAAATTAATATAAAGCCAATAAGAATTAGGCTGTATTGTTTGATTAACAAATATCAGGTTTGATTTTATATGTAATTATATCTGTAATGTAAAGTTTTCAAGTAGGATGCATTACAAGAATTTGCAATTAGAGAAGAACATTGTCGTAATAATTCAATTATAAAAAATATCATTGCCATTAAAGAGTAAACAAATATTTAACTGTATGATACATAATAAATATATTAGCATATAATAGTAAATGCTGAAAAACTCTCTCTATTAAATAGAAGGTAATTAAATAATGAATATCAAGTACATTAACTAATTTTAGTATTCTCTAATCAGTATTCATTACTTGTTACAAGTAATTAATAGTGAGTAATAAGTGGTGAGTATTGAGCATCTGAACCTATGAGTACTATATTTGTATATTAGTCAAAAATACTATTATATACACATCACTATTATATACTTATTCAAAATTAAAACATGATTACAAAGTTTGTGATATATTTTATGAAGTGAAAGTCATATTTTTCATGTTAAATTTAAATCAAGAAAAAAATCAAAATGTGTATTTGTGTATAATTAAAAACATAAACATATATATATTTTTTTCTACAGAGTAAATGGGTTTAATAAATACAGTATTAATATACTTTTTGTCATTAATTCATCAAAATTCATCTTAAATATATTAATTATACATTTTTGTGATGTTCATAAATCATATTTTTCCCATATAATATATGAGTCTTTACATTATCTTTACATTAAAATTAAAGATAATTTGTAATTAAACTGCCTTGATAATTAATTGACTTAATTATCTTTAATAGCTGCATTTTTACAGTAAATGTTTATTATTTGTCTTTCCATTATTGCTTTGGATCTTTGAAAATTATAAAAATGTTGTTTTTAATATTGTACAATCCATTTTTCATAATATATATGCTATGATATATTAAAAGTGTAGAAATTCTAATGTTTTAAGACAATTAATTTTGTTAAATTTTCCTCATTAATTTATAAATATAAGTGTTTAAAAAAATCCATGAGAGTAACTATGCAACCTATAATATATTGATATAATTATTGATAAGAATGATTAGATCATTATATTAATTATTTTGAAAATTTTATTATATAATGCAAACTTTGAATTGATTTGTGTATGTGTTGTTTTTAGTATTTTTACATTGCAAATTGTTTTTTGGTGAGATACTTATTATAATATGTCTATGTGATATGCCAAAGTTACTATGCAGTGTACTTATAAATACTGATATTGTATTTATATCAAAATTAAAATATGAGATAAAATTTGAAACATTCAGCAAG